TATTGAGAATAAAATATTTACATGATTGATATGAAATTAAAATTCATTTACTTTCTTCTTTTGTTGACGTTTGTTGGATGATTCTTTTTCTTCAATAGGATCGTCTGTCAAATCAAGAAGAGGAAACACTGATTTAGCAATAATCAATCAGATTAAATCTACTTGTAGATAATGGCTTCGGAATGTTGTTGGATTCATCAGGATTTTGAGAATGTTTCTTGTTTCTCTATAATAGTTGGATTCGATCTACTGAGCATATTCGATATAAAACTTGACCTTACCCGAACTAATAACGTATTTTTATCATGATTCAGTAGTAGTTTATCAGCATAATCTTTTCGACATCTGAAACAATAAAATGAAATTGCTTTTGAGACAATAAAAATCATTGAGGTACCTTTCACATGGGTTCCCTTTTTGAATATCTTTAAAGAGAAATTTTTTCTGATCATTGGGATTAAGATTTATTTGAGTACATTTGAATTCACAACATTCGTTGATGACACTATCGATCAATCCCTCCACATAGAAAGCTACTGACAGACGAGATGTTGACCGACGCTGGAATTTGAATGAAAAACTTTCTAGAGAAAATGGTAATTTTCTATTCATTTTACTTCGTAACATCTGTAATTACCGCCTTTAGCTAAATATCCTCGATATACCAGCATCGTTTCCCCAGTACTATATCGTTGCATCACAGTAATTTCTTCACGGCTAGATTTTTCTGCAGTGAGTGTCGTTGTTGGTGCATAAGACATGGTTATCTCACAGGCTAAACGTTCTTCAAAAAGTGCATATGGGCGATCATCTTGTTGATATACCGAAGTACTTCGTGTTGATCGTTCATCATTAATCTCAACTCTCTAAAATCTATGTTCGACTACAAGTCAATTTAGGATATTTCGATATTATACCGGCAAAGTATCTGAAGAATTTTGTTCACGAATTCGAATTACATTATATGACTGTGTACTATAGTTTTGCTTGACAGTCTTCATGAAATACAATCAAAAGACATTGTGCTTCTGTATTTAATTTACCTTCGAATTCTGAGTGAGAGAACGTGCTGCAGTATTTTTCAATGGACGGCTATAATTACGATGATGATTTTGATAGAGATAGGCAGTTCTAAAGTTTTCAATCAAGCAATGCAAGAATATTTCTGAATGGAAATTAACCTCGAAGCGATATCATGTGTTGTCATTCTTTGTGCTTGTTCTTGACGTTCATCTGTAGATTGAATTAAAGGATTAGCCTAGATAGAAATTAACTTTAACATTGATTTTCTGGAGATGATGAAGATATCGTATATTTACCGAGGTGGTAAGTCGCAAACGAGATTGCCCATACAATGAGTTGGTCAACGTCTGAAGATAAGGATTTAACCAATGTTTAAATGGCCTGAAAGAGAATTTTTTAATTCCAATGAAAAC